TCTGCTCTGTCAGATTCCCCAGTGTTGTCTCAAGAAAGTCCTCCTGTAATAGGGACCCAGGGGCTACGCCTCTAGATGACCAAATGGGTAACTAAAAGCAGGATGAAGCTTGACATCTCTGCCTTAATTTTATCTCCCTAATTACCTTCCAACTTTGGGTCAGGTCCTGGCTTAGCTCTACACACGGGGGTGCTAACCACGCAGGTGGTGTCTGTGTCACAAGGTCTAGCAGCCCTAAAGGTACCTAACCTGTCTCATCCTCCTTCAAGGCTGAGGACACCAAGTCCAGAGTAACTAAAGGAATTTTGCAGGGACATCTCATTGCCAGCTTTTAAAATGTCCAGTTCCAGACCCTCTGGACCAATGCCTAGAAGTTCTAAGTCATTGTCCTAAAGCTGCAGCCGCCTTGGACTCCAGGAGAAGCACAGCCTCGCAGACCACCCCACGATGAGGTCGCTCCCCAAGTAGGAGCAGTTCCCCCATGACAGGACCTGCGGCTGCCTCTCCACACAGCCTGTCATCTCACGGTGGGAACTGAACTGCCGCCTCAAGCGATACCGGCTCCCAGACCTTCTAGAAACCATCCTGAGGTGCCATCAACTCAACTGCGACTTGACAAAGATCATCTAAACTATCAGCTCTGGAACCCCAGACACTTGCCTTTGTTCCCTTTTCCTATAAAACCACAGTTTCTGTCAGCCCCTCAGTGACTGCTTCCCGGCATGGCCATGCTGACTAAAGCCCCTCCCCCTTTACCAATGTTGCTGTCCTTGATTGGCATTTTTGGGATGAGTGACAGAGCTGGTCTGTTGAGAACCCCCACAACCAGAGCTTTTACCCTAAAATTCTAGTAACCCCTTCTTTCTATCCAAGTTATTCCATCTGTTCCTCTTGCATACTACCCAGAAAGCCCAACTCTGGTTCTTGTTAAGGATTGACAGTGGCATCACCTTAGTCTGCCCAGAAACGTTCTCTAAAAAGCAGAATGAGGTCATCTTACCGTCCGAGGAATGATGGTGAAATTTTGGAATGCCTAGAACCCTGTGACATCTTTGCCAGTACTGGAGAGTCACACGGACACGCTGAAATCAACACATTTCAAGGCAGTTTGACAAAGTGATTTCAAACCACTTGGAAACCCAAGGGATGACAGGAAAGGGGAAAGATCATGGAGAATGGAGAAAAAGGACCGAGAAGGAACATTCATCCAATAAGATGACTAAGGGATGTCTTGCCTGGAAGTGGTTCTGGGCCTTTTTCCAGCTGAGAAATTGTTAGGAATCATGAAATCACAAGTCAGGCCTGAAAGGGGGCTGCAGTCCTCTCACTGTTTAAGTGGTGAAGATGAAGCCTGTGGCCAAGAGCCCGTACTAGGATCCCAAGAGAGGCAGCTGGAAAAGGCAGCCGTGTTTCCTGGGAAGAGTCTCCCACCTGAATATGACCTGATCAGCATGTCACAGATATGATGTCTGCCTGGTGAATTCACTTTAGGAGATCTTGGGGTCACTGTATTTCCAAGGCCATTATGGGCTTATCCTGAAAGTGCCTGGTCTGGGGGTGGCCTTGGCCAGGATGGCCACAGTACCCCACTGTCCAAAATGCTTTCACCTTTGTTACTTCTCAGTCTGCAAGGCAGAATCTACTATCCTCTTTCAGAAACAGGAAATGGGATCAGAGGGGCTAGAAGATACATTCAAAACCACTGGCTGGCTCTGAGAGAGCTCCGTCCCTGCCCACCTCACTGTTCTCCTCTTTCTCCTCCAGGACCCAGGGAGACTTCAAAGGTGTTCCGAGCCTGCTGTTACACAGCCCTCTACTTCCCCACGGACACGAATGCTCTGCTTCTTCTCGGGGAAGCAGAATTTAGGACTCAAGGCTCAGTCTTGCCAATGGGTTTCTGCCTTTTCCAAACACAGTAAGAGGCGGTCTTAGCTTCTTATTTGAGCTATCTTCAGTCCCCAGCCCAAAGGTGTGCAGGACTCTTCACTGGCAGAAGGAGTCGGGTGGGAGAGGAGTCAGAGGCCCGGAAACACTGGAGAAAGGGGTTTGCCTATGGCCCAGAGCGAAGCTCCTCCCTGCTCTTGCACCCTTATTGCAAAGACAGAGTGGCTCCTGAACCCTCCTCACAAGGTCTTCTGGCGCTTAGGCTGTGCACCCCCAGTGCCCTGCAGTGGAAGTGTCTTTTTACCTTAGTTGGGATGCAAAGAGACAAGTTTGCCACTAATCTTTTGGTGGAGACACACATATCAAAAACCTGCAAGCGAGCACACAGGGCTTCATGTCGGGGATTTGCAGCATTCCTCCGCCTCCCTCACTGCAGAGGCTGAGCCTGACTTTCAAAAAAGGGCATGAAGCCCTTGGCGAATCTCGGAGGAAAACTCCCTGTGTGTTAGCGCCAGGGGCTTCGGGCCCCTTTAGGGATTTTCCCCTGAGGCTGCTCCAAACAAGAAGGAAGTCTGAGTGAAAAGCTGAAAATGTTGAGACTATCAAAGAAAGGCACCATTGTTGATTCCTAGTTGTGTCTGCCTGAATATTAGATGCAAATAAGGGTTAATAAGTACAGTTGGAAAAGCTAATGGGGAAACCACCCTTCCCAGGAGGATTGCTGCACACAGATGTGCAGGGCAGCTAAGATGGGCTGACTGGCCCCATTCACTGGTCACCGTGCAGCCTGTGTAGACGCGTCCTGTGGAAATAAAGCCTATGTAAATTCGTTGCATAGAGGTACTCAGTGTGCAGAGCCTCCTCCCAGTTTTGAGGCTGGGTTTGGGGAATTGAAACTCCCATTCTCTCCACTGTGTGTGTGTGTGTGTGTGTGTGTGTGTATGAGCACATTTGCCCCTTGGCAGGTGTGTGACACTGAAGATTTTCTCCTGACCACCACATCTTTGTGGCCAAAGTCCTGTGATCTGCCCACACTCAGTGCGGACTGGGAGCTCCTCGGCAGCTATCCAGCCAAGCTGTGGCCAACTGGAGGGGCTCCAAGAGGGGCTCCATGGAGGGGACAAGGGATCACAGGGACAGGGACAGTATCAGTGTGTTCTGGGGTGTGTAGGAGGCAAGTAGCCTTCTGTTCACTCCACCCTCCCTTTCCTGCTCTGCTCTGGACAGCTCTGGGACTTGGGATGGCTAAGGATTCTACTGGCCTATTCTCCCTAACACTTGAATCCTTGTCTCTTGCGCTCGATTTATTCAATCTACACCTGACAGGTGGAATAGGGTGATTTTAGCTACATACTTACCCCACCACCCAACTACCTGGTGCAGTCAGTAGAGCAAGGCTAGGCCACAGTACAGCCCTGGGACAGTCTGAGCTCAGTCCTGAAGAGGGAACCCCAGCTCAACCTAACCCACTTTAGAACCAGCACTGGGCCTGACCTTGCCTCTGCTATCTTCTAGAAGTGTGGATTCCAATAACTTGGTGGCATTCTTGCACCCTCAGTTTCCTCATCTGTAAAATGGGGATGGTAGCGCTTATGTTGTTGAACGAAAGAAAGGAGGATCATAAGATTATCAACATGCTTCAGTCTCTCTTCTCACCTATCTTGCTCTATCTTTGGATTCTCTGAGCTTATCTGGGGCATGGAGGAGGCCACCTGGCCCAGTCACTCCAGACACAGTGCTAGGAGCTCCCTGGCTGTCCTCGGGAGTGGTTTTGCTCCCTGATCATTTGCCTCACCCCTCTCTGATCACTCAAGGGCCAAAGGTCCGCCCCATTCCCCAACTCCATCTCTCATCTGGGTCAGCCCGCTGGAGTCAGGCCAAGCAACCAGCAGATACAATCAGAGAGGAGGAACAGCAACCTTGACTCTGCCTTACTAAAAGCTCTGCAAGCTTCTGAAAATACTGCTTGTTCCTTCAAGCCCAAGAGGTGACTGATTTACACAGTTTCATACAGTTCCTGGGAGAAAAGAGCCTGCTCAGCCCCTGCTTGCCTCCTGCAGGTTGGGGCTGCCTTTCCCCAGGAAGAACTAAGCGGGAATCCACAGCCCTGTCCATGTCCTTGCTCTCCTTGGTGCTGTGTGCTAGGGACCGATCACATCCCCACTCCTTGAGGGTAGGCCCCATACTGTAGGGGAACAGCCGGTTGGCTCGGCTCTCAGGCTGGTGACAGACCTGACAGGGTCTTCACGGAGGAAGCCCTCAAGGGAGAAGGCGGGTCACTGGGTACTTTGAGCAGAATCCTGAAGCCCCAGGAATGTGAGGATCTGTGCAGATAAGTGGTAAGACCTGGGCTGAATTTCAAGCCTGACTATAGCCCGAAGACCTTCCCAAACCTTTCTCAGTATCAATCCTCTGCCTCCCACAGACCCTGCGCCCTCGCAGCGTCCTGTCCTGAGCACCCGACCCTGGCCGGCTATGGCCCAAGCCTGCCCGCGGCGCTTCATCCTTCTTCCACACGGCTCTTGGGCAGTGGCTGTACTCTGGCTGCTCAGTGTTGCCAAGCTCCAGAACAGAGTCCAGCGTTCAGGGATCTTGGAGATCGGCGCAGCCCCAGCCCGACCGCCCCACCCCCGCGGCCGACGGACCGCACCCAGCGGTGGCTCCAGCGCAGCGCCTGACCAGCCGGACCGCTGGAGCCGCAGAGTGCGCGTGGGCGCGGCGCCCGTGAGCTCCTGGGAGGGTCGAACGATCACCGGAGATCCCCTCCTGGCCACCACCGTCACCGCACCACCGCGGGGCGGGGCCGGGGCCGGGGGCGGGGCGCCGGGCGGGCGCGGCGCTATTTCCAGCCCAGCCGGAGGCTTCGCTCGCACTTCGCTGGGAGCCTTCCCGGCGCGTGAGGCGCATCCGCCAGCGCTGCGGGCAGGAGAGAGGACGAGGCGGCGGAGGCGGGGGACGGGCCCGGGCCGAGGGCGAGGAGGGACGTGGCGCCGTGCCCTCTCCCTGTCCAGTGCGCTCGGGACGCCGGCCCCACGCCGCTCGACCGCACCGGGTTCCGCACAGAGCGAGCGAAGGCACCGGGCAGGAGCCGGGGCGGAGGTCCTCCCTGCCGCCTGGGAGCCCCGAGCGCAGGATTCGCCCGCCCCGGAGGACCGCGTCCGGACGGGAAGATCCCGTGGCTTCCCGAGCGCCGCCTGCGCCAGGTAAGTGGCTGCGCCCCTGCCCCACCCCTGTTTCTGCTCTGCGCAGGCTGCTGGCCCCAGGGGAACTCCGTGAGGGGACCTTGGGGTGGGCGGACAGAACCGCACCGCGCGCCAAACCCGCGACCCGAAGTGGGTTGGAGTCTGAAGCCGCGGACCCTGGTGGGGCGTGCGTGGCTTCCGCCTGGCGGCACTTTGGGGACCGGCCCCAGTAGCGGGAACTTTAATTAGACTTTTGGTCCTTGGATTTCACTCGTCGCCGCGCGTCTGTGAACTGCCTCCCCTCGGGCTCGCTCGTCCCTGCGGACCGCTGGTCCTCCTCCCAGCCCTGTGTGCGGGGCGCGCGGAGGCAGGTCGGGCGCCGAGCCGCGAGCGCCCTTAGGGCTGCGCTGGAGCGCGGGCTTTCCTAGGGAGACGGAGCTGGGACTCCCGGGGCTGTGGTGGGCAGGGGGCACAGGGGAAGTTAGAGGCGGCCTTGGCTTTCTACCGGGCGGCAAAAGGTACCCGCGCTCCGTCGCGCGCATCCCCACCCCGGGACTCTCCAGGGCACCGGCCTGTGGGCCCGGCGAGCGTGTGCGTCAGTGATGGTGCGAAGGTGTGTGCGTGCGTGTGTTCCGGAGTGCGGGAGTCGGAGCCTCGGCTCGGGCGGCTTGGGTGGGTGATGAGAGAATCGGCTTTGCGGCGGGACGGAGCCGAGCTCTGGCGACGGCTGCAACTCCAGCGGAGAAGCAGGCTGCTCCTCAGCACAGCGGCTCTGGCCTCGCTGGAAGCCGGCTGGAAGGTGCGTTTGCAGTTTTTGGCTGCGTCGGTGGTGGCTCTTGGATCCCTCTCCCTTCTCTGGCGCGCGACTCGCGCTGCCCTAACTTTCCTAGTACATCTTCTCTCCAGGCCCCGCGACCCCAGCCCCGGCCTCACTGTTCCAGTAGAGGAATAGGGGCTGATCCTGAAGCTGTTCCACAGCGGACTCCGGAATCAAAGGGAACTCCACCACTCTGAGCTGCCCCCCAGCTAGACCCTCAGCCTGCATCGTCTCTACTAAGGAGAACAGGCTTCCCGGGATGGGTTCTCTGTATCGCTTGGCGTAAATGTATTCAGGCTGCAGAGCTCGTGGGGGAGGCTGTTGAGTGCTGCACAGAGGACTTTGGGGAGGGTAGTGGGGGAAGAGGTCAGAGAGGTGAGGGGCGGGTTAACCCTTTCCGGGAGTGTTCACATGCCACACTTTCCTGGGCTCACCACTGCTTTCACCTCGAGCGGGCCCATACTGGAGAGCCTGGAGCAGGAGGGACAATGCCTGCGTTCAATTCTTCCGGTTATTATGGCCTCTCCTGACTGTTCTGTCCCAGAGGCTAGAAAGACAGGCCACAGAAAGGAGTGACACGGGACCCAGTAGGAGGTCTTCTTAATCAAGACATCCCACCATCCATGTGCAACAGGGTCTGGGGCACCCTCAGGGACCGTGTTCAGGAACCTTCTGCAGATTTGCCTCTGTGAAGTGACCCACAGGAGGGATAACATTCAGATCCCGGAGCCTTTGAGCCACATGGGGATGATCAGTAATTCAGTAGCATTTGAACACAGAAAAGGTCGGTCTGATCCCATCCCACTGCCTGGCCTGGTTACCCTGGGATGCACAAAGGACACAAGTTATTTATTTATTTATTTACTTATTTACTTACTAGGAGTCAAACTCTGCAAGAGTGAATTACGTTCCCCGGGTATTGATTTTTAAAAAGACCCCAAATTAAAAAGTCCAGGTTTTCTTAAAGCAAGGTCAAGGATTAATTATTTATAGAGAAACATCAATCAGCTGGGGAGGGGCACATTTATAAATTGCCTGAGTGGGCAAAATAAGATCTTCGGCTTTTCCTTGGCTCCTGCTGGGAGAACAGAGCTGGCTTGTCTGACCTCCTGGGCTTGGCAAAGTGCTGCCCGGCTGTGACCCGAGGAGGATGCTTTGTAACTCAGCCTGCTGTTTGAGATGCCTTTTTCATCTTGTAGCTGGAATATCACTTGGGAAATTTCATGCATATTTGCTGTGTTTCCGTAATGAACATTTACTGATTACAGAGTATCAAGGGGGTTTCATTTTTAAAACATTTATTCAAATCTCTGTTTATGTAAGCTAATAAGTCTGGGAAAGTTCAGTAACTACTTTTTTTTGCCGTATGTTTGTTAGGGAAGTACCGCTGGCAGAGTAATCTCAGAATTTGCCTTCTATTCACTTATAAGGAGCAATGTCAGATTTTCCTGATTGGAAACATCGCATCTTTCAGGCTGCTTTTCTGCTCCTCATTCTGAGTTCTAGCCAACGGCTCTTTGATAGGCGCTTGTCTGTGGTTTTGCAGATTGAAGAAAGGGTGGGCGCATGGAGCTTTTATTGTTGTTTGCAAATGCATCTAGTGGATGGAAAGAGGAGGTAGGGAAGGTGTGGTCTCCAGCGCACTTCCCCTGCTCCTTCCTGCTGCCTGGCCTGGAGTCTGAGACCCTTGGAGTCTTAACTTCCCCTGCTGCTTCCAGCTTGGAAAGTCTCACCCCTGATTTACTATATGTGGCATCTGTATTGGAGAAATGTAGGGTATGGAGGTACGTACAGGCAGGAAAGTGGACAAAGGATTATAGCAGCTCTTTAATGAGCATCTGTGGCAATTAGAGTCGGTACACACGGTGGGAAACAAGGGACCAGCCTTTCAGCTAATCAGAAGGTAATGAGTTATAAAAGGAGATTTATATAGTCCTGACCTGAAGAGGTCAATGTGGCCCTGCAGAGTCCAAAATAAAACAAATAGGTCCATGAATAAAAAATTAAGGTTGATGTCTGGATATATGTGCAACGTTGGTGTCCTGGGGCTTCAGGAAGTTTGGTGTGGGTAGGCAGCCTGCTTGGTGACACTGTGGTGACAGTAGGCTCCTTGGTGCTATCTTTGGAGTCACTGTCAGTACTTATCTGACTCCAGAGCAGCTGTGTCCCCTCCCTCCAGGGAAAAGGCTGTCCAAAGGCAGAGACGATCCAAGGACTTAGACAACCCAGGGACAGCTTCATTAGCTCAGGTGGCAGAGGGTGCAGGAGGTACCGTTCATTTCTTATCAGCTGAAGGATATATGACCCTGTGGTCAGTAAATCACTGTGGCAGAAGATGAGATTTACAAATTGGTCATGGAAAAAAGCTGTGACTTTTACCCTGTGCCAAACTACCTGTCATTTGTGATCTGGCACCTCTACTGGACTTGTTCCTGTGCAGTTAAGAGATTCAGGAGTGCAGCCTAGGCCACCAAGAAGCTGGGGAAAGCTGTGCGTTGACACCAAGCAGCAACCCTGATCCTACCTCCCAGGCCACCTCTTGGGAAATCAAAGAGTGTCTGTCTGCATGCAGGTCTGGGGCTGGGACCAGCAGGCACAGTTGCCCTCCCAGACCAGCCACTTGGATCTGACATTTCTACTCCCCCTGTGGAAGGCTATGTGTTTAAAGAATCAGTGTTTTAGGGGGCTGGTGACTGAGGGCGTGATGCCCTTTTCCTGCCAAACCATGGCCAGAGCCGGCTCTGGCAAGTGGCATTTATTTTAACCAAATTGGAATTGTCCATATTGAAACCTGGAGCCAAATACCTCTCCATGCTGTAGTCCCAGGGCCAGCCTGGCTGTCACTCTCTTTTCTTCTGCTATCAATGAATGTTTGTTGAGCATGTATTAGGTGTCTGTTACTGTGCCAGGCCCTTGGAGGAGGTGAGCCAAATAAGAGTGGTTGCCTGATCTTGTGGGGTTTGTAGTTGGTAGATTTCCCCCATTCATTCATCACTCACTAACTCATTCTCTGCCAAAGACGTTAGTAAAAACAATAACCAAAGCATGTGTGACTCTAGGCTTGACAGAGTTATAAAAGGAATGCTACAAACCTATGATAGAATAATCTGACCTAGACTGAGGGGTTGGGAGGGCTGAGGAGGTACTGTCCAGCTGAGATCTGAGGAGGTACTGTCCAGCTGAGGAGCTGGTTCTAAGCAGGATGAGGTAGGAGGGATGGAGGAAGGGAGGAAACACTCCAGGTACAGGTCAGCGCGTGCACAGAGGTCCCTGCCAAGGGAATGTATGAGAAAGCATGGAGCTCTGTCCAAGAGCCATGGCAGGCCCCTGTGGCAAGTAGAATGAAGGAGAAAGAGGTAGCTGAAGACTTGGCCACTTAGGTCCTTTAAGGCTGGATACTTTGGGATCAGAAACTTTATTCTACAAACTGGTCCAGAGTAGGAAGACCAGTGAGGAGGGGACTGCAGTGACCCCGAAGAAAGATGACCATGGCCCTAAGGAGAAGTGGGTTCCCATGAATCCCACAGGAATTGGTGCTGGATTATGTGCAGGAGGGGAGACAGTGCAGTGGTTGGGGTATGACTTGTGGGACACCGGTAGGAGCTGTTGGTTCCCTGGGGCAGGGCCCCCTGGGGTGCTGAGCTCCTGTCGCTCCAGGTGTGCTCTGTCCTCCCAGCACTGGGTAGTCAGATGGCTGGTTGTGCAGCCCTGCCTCTGCACTCATCTGCCCACCCCTTTCCAGCTGTCCTAGAAGCTTGGCTTCCTCTGCCTTTCTGTGTCACTGAGTAGATGACAGCCTGGGCCCGGGGCTCTGCGCTGAAGACAAGTGGCCAGAGGCCAGAGCTATTGTTCTTTTTCTCCCCCGGTTCCCACCTCCCCGCTGGGCCCTACTTACTCAGGGCTGGCTTTCCCCGGGGGTGTAGGACAAGGTGCTGCTTCTCACCTGTCCTGGGCCCAGCTCTCCTGCATATAGGCCACTTGCAGGGCTCTGAGGCCAACCTTCCTCTGGACTTGATTGCCCACAGGCCTGCTGGCCAGAGTGGCCCCAGTCTGTGTTTCATCCACTTAGCTTCCTCGTCCCCTTAGTAGGTCCTTCACTTGCCATGCACTTGATCTAGCCTGGCAGCTGGCTGGCACCTGCCCCAGAAAGAACTCTCTTATTCCCTTCCCTCATTCTCAGTTCTCCCTCCTTTTCTTCCTGCCT